CAATTATTGCACCACTCGAATGAAGTTGTGATTTCTTTAGCGCCCGTTGCAAATTTACTAATTTTAAATACGCTTTGATGATCAGAACTGCATGTTCGTTAGGCTCTTATGGTGTGTTGCCGAATTCCATTTCGTCAAGCTGGCCAGTGTAATGTCACAATGTCAAAGAAACTAGGTCAAATTGACATTCAATTTTCTCTATTTTCTTTGAAGACGGAGGCTTTAGCTTTCGTCAAGGTGTAATAGTCGTGCTGGTAGATTAAATCCCCCCCCCCCCGCCTTTTGAACTTTATTTTTTAACGAATGCGAAATTTTATTTGAATAAGTTCTATTAACTTGACTTGACTTTGTTTTCAAGCCCTTCTCTTAACTACTAATCGGATATAGCCTTTGATTTAATAATCGCCAAATAAATGGCTTCATTTAATTTTCTTCACATTTTTTGTCCTTCAAATTTTGCTGTTCGATGAATGGATTTTCTTTTTCCTTCTTTGTCGTTTGTGCCAGCGTGCTTGTCTGGGAGGTAGATTGTCTCCGATTATTTGATTCTTCCAAGTTGCAAGGGTCGTTTTACATTTAATAGTTAGATATAACATTAAGAAGCATGGAATTGTTCAGGATAATTTTTTTCGGTAATCATCTTTTATGGGTCATCATTCTATACATTTATTTATTTATTTATTTCAAATGGCAGGGGTTTTGATAGCTATCATTAACCGTATAGCTGACTTCGGGCTTCACAGAGGGAAGGTTCATCAAAGTAGCATAAATTCGAGGGGTGGGGAACAGAAGAGCGATTCACAGATGTAAAAGAGGCAGACAGACACAAAGGTAGAGAAAAAGGTAAGGTGAGTACTGTGAAAGGGGTCGAATGTGACAACCAGGGGGTCGTGTTAGTTTGAAGTGAGAAGTCAACTGCCGGTTAATAGACTGGCTGTCTGCCGTATGAGTATACGTTGCCCAGGGTGCACCGCGTGGAGGTAAGTCTATCGCACACCCCGTCATTCTATACCATCGATCTATGACACTCGTATACCTTAAACCAACAACATTTTTTTGTGGTGAAACATTTGGACCCAAATAACTGTAAAGTAAAAGTGACGACCACAACTTATACTTCCTCATAAATAATCAGTATATTAAAAAAGTCTTCTTTCGACTGAGTTCTGGTTTCTACTCATACCTATTTTTTTAATTAACGAATATTTAGCTGTTTTTTATTCTTTAGATTTCAAATTCAATCATTTATGCCTCGGGTTCTTGTGTAAATACCAGGGCTCATTAATTCGGATGCTTTAAGGCTATGTTCCTCCATATTTTTTATTTTCTCTCTTGAGCTCTATTCTTGAGTGACTGGTGGGCAAACATCTTATTATTAATTGGCTTAATATTATTGTGTTCGTATAACACTTCACACGTATATCGGAGGTATTGGCTTTATAACGTTTTTTTCATAGAGCAGCTCCAATTGAGAAACATGTGTTTTTATACCAAGATCCCATGGGACCCCCCAAATGGTTCATCTTCACCGATAAGACCTGATTTTTTTTCGTTTAGTATGTTTCCTTGCAGTGTCTGAAATTAGAAGCCAACGAGTTAATGAATTTTCCGTTGTAATAGGCCGGATGCAGAATGCGGTCGACTGTGGTGTATGCATCGAAATGAGAAGGCGATGCTACTGGGTTGGGAGAAGTCCCAACGACGAGTTGACCCCTACTCCCAGCGGACGTGTGTCGCACTGGTCTACGACCCTCTTGATCCCCTCCAACACACCGAAGTCACAGCTGAAACGGGATTTCCTGGTCCTGGATGGGGAAACGCCGCCTCCGTCACTCAGGATGCTGGCATGACACCTGATGGAACACCATGTCAAAGAGGAGTTAGTCTTATAATTCATTTAACCTTAAGGAGTAACGTTTTTAAAACTTGAGTGCAGACATTATTAATGCGGGGAGTAATTTAACATGTTTCAGTGCTTAATTTTGGCTTTTCCCCGAGGTACGGTAGGTGATTTAATTCTGCTGACATCATGAATATGGTATATATTTATTTATTTCAAATGGCAGGGGTTTTGATAGCTATCATTAGCCATTTAGCTGACTTCGGGCTTCACGGAGGGAAGGTTCATCAAAGTATAAGAAAGTCGAGGGGTGGGGAACAGAAGACCGATTCACATATGTAAAAGAGGCAGACAGACACAAAGGTAGAGAAAAAGGTAAGATGAGTACTGTGTAGGAGTCGAACATGACATGCAGTGGGGTCGTGGTAGTTTGAAGTCAGAAGTCAACTGCCGGTTAAACAGACTTTGCCGTATGGGTATACGTTGCCCAGGGTGCACCACGTGGAGATATGGGATATTATTGTCTACGTCCGTTCGCCATCTAGGGCTTCACTAC